CTTGACTGGCAAATGCAAGGATCTGAGTTCAATCCCCGGTTCCGCAAAAATAAATAAATTAATTAATTAAAAAATAATTTAAAAAATCAAAACCAGGATCTTGTACTTTGGTTGAAAATGTCATAGTGTTGAATTAAACTTCACAGCTGTCTCTCTCTCTCACACATACACACAAACACACACGGTTTTCTAACAAGTAATAATAGATTGACATACACAAAAAGAAACACAACAAAAAAATAATGAACTGATAGACTAATTTTGAGGAAAGAAGATTTTGACAGCTTTGGTTTTTTAAAATGTATTTAGGACAGGGTCTACAGGGTCTCACTACATAATTAGATTTGTAGTGATTCTCCTGTTTTCAGCCTCCCAAGCACTTGGATTACAGGTGCACGCCACTACACCCAGTCAGAATCAAGGGGGGGCTGGCACAGCAGGCTGGGGATGTCAGATTATTACTAGCCCATTAATACTCTTCTGTAAAGCTTACACAAAGAAAACCCTGCCCCAATTTTTGAGACAGGGTCTCACTATGCAGTTCATGTTGGCCTTGAACTCAAAAGCAATTCTGCCTCAGCCTCCCAAGTGCTGGGATTACATGCCACCACACCTGGCCAAAAAAACCCATTTAAGAAATCCAAATGAGTGTTTGGAGATGAAAACAGAACTTTTTAAGTGTGTCTTCTCACCAACGTTTGGAGAACTACACTGCCAAAACCACTGAGAACAATTTCACCAAGAGGAAATTTCTTTAAAAATTTTTTTTTGTGGGTGCTGAGGACCAAACTCTGAGGCTTTTACCTGGTAGGCAACTGCTGTATCACTGAACATCTCTAGTCCACATCCACTGCAACCTTGACTATATGCATGGGAGGGGCAGATTCACTAAGGTTTGGAAACAAACTAATTTAAGCCATTCTTTTGTCACTTAGTATTCGCCTATGGTTAAATACTTTACCAAGGTTGTACATCTCTATAAAGTGATTAATCTGCCCATCTCACAGGGTTGTTAGAACTAAATAAGACACCAGTATCCAAAATACTTGGTTTGAAATTTGTCACGTAGTGATAGCAAAATACAGCTTTTCTATCAGGAAAGTGTGAGGGGAAAAATAACAATGTAACTTATCCCACAGCAAGTATGTACTGTAAGGACAAAACTTGGAGGTTAAAATCCTATCTTGAACCTTACTAACCAACTTTATCAACCCTCCATATTCTCAAAGTCTTAATCTGTAACGAAATTCACACAACATGGTCCTTGACACTGTACAATGATTCAAAATACACGATGGCTGTTACTAACTGGGGACCAATTTTCTCCCATTTAAATGTAAAAATGCCTAGTTCCACTTCGGAAACAAATGTTGAGACAATAAGATTGAGCCCTGTGAGTGCAGTCATCAAAAGACTTGAGAGCTGACTGCCACCTCCACTTCAGATGCTCTTTTGGCCCAATCAATACCTCCACCCTAGAGGACACCCTATAGAAAACGCTGGCAGTGAGACAGAGGCAAAGCCTTCCACTACCCCGTGTCTGGAAAACGGGGTAGACTAACCCCGAATGCAGCGCCCAGTACAGTGCAGTAGCTTCTAAGAAGCACCAACTGCAGTTTTGAAAGTTGGTCTGGGGCGGGGCATGGTGACAGAACTACATACATAGCGCGACCATCTCTCAAAAAGAAAGAAAGAAAGAAAGAAAAGTTCTTGGTCATTTCATAGCCAGAGGGCCAATAATATTTGCATAAACGACAAAAAAAAAAAAAACCGGAAGCGGGTCCACAACTCTGGGTCCTCTTAACATCTAGCAAAGCCTCCCCTCGTGCTGAGGGAATCTCCACTCTTTCCTAAACGCCAGGCGCCGGGTCTGCGCGGAGGGGCGCGCACAGGTGAGGCAGCTTCCGCCGGAGACCCCCTCACACCCCACCAGGCCTCGCTGCCCGCGCTCTCCCCTTCTCCCGCTGCGTCCTCTCCAAACTGGCGTGGGCCGAGGCTCCGAGGCGGGCCCGCTTCCCCTTCTGAGGGCGACTCCCCAGCCGCGAGGAAGAGAGCGCTTATTTTCCCCATCCTTGAGGCGCGTTTGGGCGGGCTCTGCCCTCGAAAGGCTCAGGTTTTGCGTTTTTAAGTATAAAAATAAAGGAAGTGACGACGGACCAGGGAATGGCCCGAAGCCCTCGAGGAGAAGAGGCCGCTTCGTCCACCCGGGGGCGCCGCGAGGGGGGTCTGCGCTGAGGGGGAGGGGAAGGAAGGCGGGGAGGGGGAGGGGACGCGGGGGACGGCCCAGGCCCCGGCCTGCAGGCGGGCGGAGCCGGCGGGGGCCTCACCGAGGGTCCTCGAAGCGCACGAAGGCGAAGGGCACGAGGCCGTGTCGGTTCTTGAGCTCGATCTCGCGGATGCGGCCGTACTTGTAAAACAGGTCCTCCAGGTCCTTCTCGCGCACGTCTGTCGGAAGGTTCCCCACGTAAATGCGCCCGTCGCCCTCGCCGCCGCGCTCGTCCGTCCAGCCCGACATCCGCACCGCCCGACGCCGCGGGCCCGCCGCAGCCCACGTCGCTCCGCTGCCGCCTCAGCCCGGGTCCCCCGCAGCGTCCCCGCGGGCTCGCAGGCGCTCAGCCGCACTGCATTGTGGGAACGCGGAACGGAAGCGAAAGGGTCGGCGGAGGCAGCTCGAAGCCTCTTAAAGGGGAAGCGGCCGTGAGGACTGCGCGTGCGCAGGCGCCGGCGCTCTTTGTAGGTGTCGCCGTGCTCCGGGGCTGAGAGGCAGTTTAGAGCTCAAATACTGTTCGTCCCACTCTGGCGCAGATGGGGCGAGAGGCTTAGGCTAGTGTTTCTCCCTCTGTAGCGCCGCCTACTGCGCAGACCGTGACAGAGCTGAGATGACGCGGGAAGCGTCTGGGGCGAGCCCGCGAGCCTGGCTGCCGGGAGCGCGGAGTCCCGGGCGGGCGCAGCCTCGGGTCAGTGGCCCGCATTACAACTACTTAGATGGCATCTAAAGACGAGGGTGTGAAGTCGCTGTCATAACTATGACAGCCCTCAGTGCGGAGCGCTTGTGGCATTAGTGCTTTTCGCCCTTATCCAGGATGAGCCCCCCCCACCCCGCGTTTCAGTTGAGAAACCCGAGGGCTCAGACTGGGGTCAGGATTAGAGCCAGCGCCTGCCCCTCCAGTGTGCCGAGTGCGGGACTTCAGCAACCCACAGGGACGTCCTGTCGGACATCAACCAGGCAGTCTTCGTCTAAGGTTTTTTTGGTTTTTTGTTTTTTTGTTTTCCGGAACCGGGGATTGAACTCAGGCCCTTGCACTTGCCCACTTGCCAGGGAAGTGCTTATTCCACTGAGCCATCTCCCTGGCCCCTAAGGTTTTTAATATTAAAACTGCAACCTCATCGGGCATGGTGGCGCAGCCCTGTAATCCAAATACTTGAGAGACTGAGGCAGAAGAATCTCCTCCAGTTCAAGGCCAGCCTGGGCTATGTATATAGTGAGTTCCAGGCCAGCCTGAACTACGTAGCGAGACCCTGTCTCAAAAAAAAAAAAAAAAAAAAAAAAAAAAATCAATCAGGGGCCGGGGAGATGGCTCAGTAGAATAAGTGCTTGCCTCGCAAGCACAAGGGCCTGAGTTCAATCCCCGGTTCCGAAAAAAAAAAAAAAAAATCAGGGGCCAACGAGATAGCTCAGCGGACTAAAGCACTTGCTTAGACAAGATTAGGCAAACTCGGGCCTCGGCTCGAGAGTCCAGGACATGGTGGCACACGCCTGTAATCCCACCGCTGAGGAGGCTGAACACAGGAGGATCACTATGAATCGAAGCTGCGTAGCGAGACCCTGTAACAACCAAATACATTTAAAAAAAAAAAAGACTGGCATGATGGCACATGCCTATAATCCCAGCACTCCAGAGGCTGAGTCTGGAGGATCACTGAGTGCGAGGCCAGCCTGGGCTGGGTAGCAAGACCCTCTCTCAAAAAGACAAAAATAAAATACAAATGAAAATTCAATGGATTGGTAGATAAAGAGATATGATAAAGCAAATATAGAGCGGGGGAGATAGCTCGGTGGCTTTAAGCACCTGCCTGGCAAATACAAGGTCCCAAGTCTAATTCTCAGTCTCATAATAAATAAATAATAATTTTAAAAAGCAAATGTAGTAGGATGTTAACTGTAGATTCCAGGTGATGGGTGTTCGGTGACCCATTCTTTCAACCTTTAAGGGACTTTTTTTTTTTTTTTTTTGCTTTTTGTTTTTTGAGAAAGGGTCTCACTGTATAGTTCAGGGTGGCCTTGAAATCACCATGTATCCTAGGCTGACCTTGAACTCGTGGTGATCCTCCTGCCTCAGCCTCCTACGTGCTGGGATAGCAGGTGTGTGCCACAACACACAGCATCATTACCCTTTTTTTTTTAATTTTTATTTATGTGTGTGTGTGTGTGTGTGTGTGTGTGTGTGTCCAGCTCAGCCCACCAGGGGGCTGGCTGGCTGGCATGTGGTGCTGGGGGATTGAACCGCGGTCCCTGTGCTTTGCTAAGCTTGTTCTAAGTAGGCGCTTTAGACCACTGAGCCATCTCACCAGCCCCTTTTTTTTCTTTTTGAGACAGCATCTCGCTGTGCAGTTCAGGCTGGCCGTAAGCTCACTTTGTATCCCAGGCTGGTCTCAAACTCACAAGATCCTCCTACCTCAGCCTCCTGAGTGCTAGGATTACAGGGATGCACCAGCACACCCAGCTCCAAATGTCATTTTGAGTTTAACGATGCAGTTTTTATAGGAGTTTATATATCCTACAGGCATTCTAAAGCCCAGGTGAGAAAACATACTTAAGTGTATCAATATTCTCTCAATTCTATCACTTCTTTTTTTTTTTTTTTTGGTGGAACCGGGGATTGAACTCAGTTCCTTGCACTTGCCAGGGAAGTGCTTATTCCACTGAGCCATCTCCCTGGCCCCCATTTCTATCACTTCTATGTGATTGTTGCCTGAAAAGCTTAAGAAAACACACACATGAACACACACACAGGTATAGTTGCTCATGCCTGTAATCCCAGCAGTTGGGAGGTTAGGGCAGAAGGATTAAAGTCAGCCTAGACTACATAGAGTTCAAACCCAGGTGTGGTGATGCATACCTGTAATCCCAACACGTGGGAGGCTGAGGCAGGAAGATTGTTGAGAGTTTGAGGGCAGCCAGGGCTACAAAGTGTGTAGAGATATAGATTTGAGAAAAAAGCGGGATGTCCCAAGAGAGCAGAAAACACTGGACTGAGCCCGAGGAGGGTTGCTGTCTGTTTGCAAATTCCGGGAAACCTGGGACCCAAGGCAACAGATAACAGCTTCTCCTGCAGGCGCTCTGTCCTTTGATCCCTTGCTTGGGATGTTAGCGGCTAGCATTTGGGTGAGCCCATTGTTAGGCAAATGGTGAAAGTTAATAGAGATAGTAGTTTGTATTCAATTAGATAATTATGCACATTCCTTAGTCTGCCCTTACTCCTCAATAAAAGTGAGATGCTTCTGAGGCTCAGGGCTCACTTGGAGAGAGACTAATCTCAGTGAGACCTCTGAAGCTACCTTCATCAGGTCTTCTCGTCATTTCTTTTGGCGCCGACCCCGACCCGTAACATACAACAAAAGTGAGTTCAAGGCCAGCCTGAACTGCACAGTGAGACCATTTCAAAACAAAAGCATAGTGAATTCAAGGGTATTCTGAATTATGTAGCAAAACCCCGTTTCAAAATAAATAAATAAAACAAAAAAGCTAGACTTGATGGCACAAGCCTATAATCCTAGTACTGGAGGAGGCTGAGGCAGGAGAATCTCAAGTTTAAGCCTAGCCTGACATTTTTTTTTTTTCAGAACCAGGATTGAATTTAGGCCCTTGTGCTTGCCAAGGAAGTGCTTAGTCCACTGAGCCATCTCCCCGGCCCCTAGCCTGACAGTTTAGTGAGACCTTGTCTTTAAACACAAGTTCTGTGTGAAAGCCCTAGATTCAGTCCCCAGTACTAAAGAAAAAGAAAAGAAAGCACCCATGGGATCAAATGTAGAAAGTCTCACTGTATAAATGTGTAAATTACCTCCAGTGATTTAACAGACTCTTTTGTTTATTTATTTATTGGAACTGGGGATTGAACTCAGGCCCTTGCGCTTGCCAGGCAAGTGCTTATTCCAGTAAGCTATCTCCTTGGCCCAGACCATTTGTTTAATACCTGTTGCTGTGCAGAGTATGAACTTTAGACTTGTTCCTGCCCCTCCCTCCCTGTTGGTGGTGATACCATCCTATTTTGTCCTATAAACTGTCTTCTTATCAAATATATGTGTATATTCATTATTCCTAATATGATAATAAGGTCCCAGTGGGCTTGTCCTGAGTGTGAAACGCTTTTGAACTGTAATGAGTTAATGCACTTCCCAGAGAAACCTGTTTACTGTCTAGGAGGGAGAAGGACACTGCCAGATTTTTTTTAAAAATTAACACCTGGAAAAAAACAAAACAAACATCCTGGATCTGCCCTTCGGGTTTTCTCTCTCTTGCTGTGACATCAGTCCCCTCTGCCAGCCCTTCTGTGTCCGGCTCAGTCTGTGAGCCACACCCATCCGTGGCCCGTGGCAGCAGGGGACACGGTGGAATCGATGAGCAGTAAAACACCCGTGGGAAAATGAGTCATCTTAGGGAAGGTGGTCAGAGCTGGCAGGAGAGCCCAGGGCGGGTCGCCCGGGAGCACATTCCTCTCCACAGCAGCTGGGAGCCTGCTCTGTCATGTGCCTCGTGTGTGTGACACGAAGGTGAAATAAAACATTCCTGGGGGGGCTGGTGAGATGGCTCAGTGGTCTAAAGCACCTATCTAGAACAAGCTAAGCAAAGCACAGAGACCGCGGTTCAATCCCCAGCACCACATGCCAGCCAGCCCCGCCCCCTGGTGGGCTGAGCTGGCTACACACACACACACACACACACATAAATAAATTTAAAAAAAAAAAAAAATTCCTGGGCTAGGGGGTGACAGTGCTTGCCTGGCATATTGGAGGCTCTGGCTTTGATCCTCAGCACCATAAACAACAACAAAGATAATCATTTTAAAAATAAAACATCTCTGTAGAGCTGCATAAGGACTGAGCCGTGCAGGGGAGAAACAGCACAGAATCTGAGATTTAGAGTTTGGCACGGGAGAGCAGGGAGCTCTGGAAGCAAGCACCAAGCGGGGGGCGGGTGAGAAGGCACAGATGGGGAAGATAATTCCGGAAGATTTGCAGGCTGTCGTGAATATAATTCCCTCTTGGTCTTTTCATAAGGGACTGTGGAAAGCCTTTTAACATTGTTTTCCAATTATTTTTGGAGAAGAAAGGAACCAATGCATTCTGTTTGTGGCCAAACAGGTGGGAAGAGAAGGTCTGGTTTTATATGAAGTTATTTAAAGGAATGAACATACTGAGCTTGTAGCCGCTTGGATGTATTATTTTTGCTAATCTGTTATATTCTGAGATGGAGTCTTCCAATAGTTATTTTTCCCTTTTTACGTTTACTTTCAAATTGCTTTTCATATCAGTACTTCTTTGTGTGGATTCTCAGGCTTTAAGCATCAATGAACATAGTTAGGCATGTGGTCACACCTGTATTCCCAGAATTGCTGGAAGGCTGAGACAGGAAGATTACAAA